GACTACAATATACACCCACAGACCTTTGAAAGTTTGTAAATGTAGTGATTTCAAAGTCATAAATCATAAGCAACTATCTTTACAGTCTTTATGTCAAGGTTTGATGGCTGTATCAACTATCTTACAATCCAATAAAATTGCATTCTATGATACAAGAAAAGAACCTAATGAAATCAATGTATTAGACACAATTTGTAATATCTAGACATTTTCAAGATGCATTAGATTTAAAATATTACTGAATGGTTAATTCAGAATTCTAAAACTTACGCATACTGATATGTTTTATCTTATTTACATCCATACAACTAGCAACAACATATTTCTTTAATCTTCTTAATTCCTCCAATGGTATATTACGATTTTTAGATGAAATCATAATCATTGTTTTATCTGGCAAACAAACACCATTCTCATCTAGTCCACTACAGGTTAACTCCACAACATTGGTATAATCTGTATAGATTATTCTGCTTCTTACTGAAAATTTAACAGATCCTATGTTTTTTTTTCTGAGTAAGAAAGGGTTGTCAATGGTTTACTATAAGGTTGGAGATCTCAATCAATATATGTAATAAACAATTGAAATTGATAAAGAAACTATTTTTGACAACAATTGAGGTTAATAAGGATCCTGTCCACTGGCTGGTCCTTGATCTTTTCTGGGTTACCTGCCATTTTGAAATGTCTCAAATAAAGGTGGCAAAATAAAACAGATCATCAGATCATCCTCAAATTTTTGACAGTGTTAAAAAGTTTGACTAAGATTAAAGCAAAATTATAATTGCTTACTTGGTACACCTTGAAAACTTGATGTCATCCATCTGTGATCCTCATCCCACATCATAACATTACCCACAACAGTTAAACAGGCATCATCTTCTTTACTAGATACAAAATAACAATAATTATTTTATTACTGAAAATATCCAAATTACTGGTACATCATTGTATGTTATCAATAGATTCAATTCTAGTAATCTCAAAAGTTTAGTGGTCTTGAAGATGTGAAATCGCAATTTGCCACCCCTCCCTTTAACTCCACTTGCCCTGCCACCATCAATGGCATTTTAATTGTAAAAATGTAATATTAAACCTGTATGGTATATTTATTATATTTATACGTCCAGTTCTGTCCAGTATAAATTGTGCAGGTTGAGTAAATTCTATTTGAAATGGAGACAGACTTCCAGCTATAGGATACCATAAACCTTCAAACTACAAAAATGTTTTAAGATTGTTAACATAATGCAAAATAATTAAGAATGTCACCAAGATTCAATATTGCTTATTGTTTGGTTATATCTAACAAATATGGTGGTTGTGGGTTCTATGATCACAAGTGAAAGTTAGATAACACCAGCTGTGTTGAACATGAACGAACTGGTGGACAGAATTCTTGAGAGCTTTATTAGTTGTTAGCCTTGTAAATATGTTTCCTTTCTCTCTTCACGGGCACATTTCAGTGAAAAAACAACTAGTTGTAATGATCAAATTCCAGTCTTTTATTCCAAATAGACTTCTCATTACAGCCTTGTAAATATGTTTCCTTTCTCTCTTCACTGGCACATTTCAGTGAAAAAACAACTAGTTGTAATGATCAAATTCCAGTCTTTTATTCCAAATAGACTTCTCATTACAACTTATAATAAAAAACAAATGTGCCATTTTGGGGTGTTTATTGGAGTCTTGGATATATGTAAATAGTCTTCGGAAGTACTAGAAATGTATGAAAATGGCATAATTTCTTCAAAAATGTCTCAAGCAAGGTTTTCTGTTAGTATTTCTATAGATGTCTTTCATATATTCGACAGTGTCTCAAAAAAAAAGATGACTTGTCTTTTTAACTGTTAAACGCAGATAAATCTAGACAGACATGGATTTATAGGCTTTAATTTCGATGGTGAGCTGTAAACACTATTACTGACTGGCTTAGCTGAAAAATTTCCGTTTCTGAGAGTATGATAGGTTAAAAAAATGGGGTATATGTCGCTTTAAATGAACTACTAACAGTTTTTGGTACAAATACAACCCAAAAATCTGTGATAGTTACATAGTTGGGTGTGTGCATCTAACTACCTATACCAGTCCATTTCAACTCTCTAGTCAGATGACAGTAATAACATTATAACAGTGTGTTGAGTGGAGAAAATGTAGTGCCTGGGATATTCAGTTTGTAATATTATACAAAATTTATCAAACCTTTTGAAGATCAAAGTTGTCAACTCCAACAAGTTTGTCTACTGAACACTTGGATTCTATAATATAAAAATCATTTCATCATCAGCCTTTAATATAATACAATTTGTAAAATTTAGAATATTGAATGGTATTGAAAATTTGACTTAAAATAGCCAAAATGTTCAATATTTTGTAATCTAATTGTTATGATAGATATTTCATATATTTATAGTATTTAGAAATATTTACTGTCTATACTGTAGGTAATAGAATGATCAGCAGCAAAATCTTCTGGGAAATAACAAAGACCTGTAATATATATCAAAAGATTGTCAAAATATGACTGATGGAACCAAATCATTATACAATTGAAATGTCAAATACTATGAAAACATCCTTCAGGTAAATCTACAAAGCATTATTCTTGTAGGGTTCCATGATTAAATCCGATTCATAATTCATTTTGAATTTATTTCGAAATTCTATACAGCATCATTCTATAAATGTATCACATCGAATGCTTGGCATGTTAGAATGAAGCTAGCGGTCACTGGATATCTAATGTTATGTGCAGATGAGCGTATCATGTCAATAAACCAGCAAACATAGGGAATTTTTGAGAGTGTACATCATACAGTGAAATATTTCCATTGCAGCAGTCATTTTGAACATTGTGTGATATCAAAAATATTCATCGCTAAAGTGAAATTATTAGGCATTTTTGTTCACCTGGAACTGTTGTTATCATATCATTAACATTAATACACATATCAGTAACAATTAATTCTAAATACTGCAGCTTCTCTTCTGGTACATGTAAATATTTAGATAATATTTCTACATGAGTTGATTGGGGTGGACATTCTTCATAATCCCCAGTTGTATCTGTACACTGATATACTACAGAATATTCACAATCTGAATACACTATTTTATGTATTGCTGAAAAATAAACAGAGTAAGCTGGAGTCACATACCATATATTTGTGTGTATAATGCGCACAATATAGGACTTGTCAAAATGAGGCCAAAATCATAAGTAAGTAATATGAATTCACAAAATTTTATTGTTCACATGTGGTCAAAGCTACTAAGTTGCTACTCCCTTTGACTAAGTCTTTTCAAAATACACCATCTCAGACTTAAATTTGATAAAAAGATCTAATAATGTAATACACACAATACAGACTAGAGCAAATACTCAGAATCTGTCCTCAAAAAGTTAATAACTGACCATTGTAATGTTATATATTTGCTCACAATTATACAAACCTTTTTCAGTTGTATCACCCATAGAAAAGACACCTAGTTTAAGTTTATATAAGTCTACTGCACCAGGAGAAACACAATTCTCTGTTAATGGACTGTAAATATGAATATCACATATTGCTTACAGTAACACGAAATTAGGTTTTACATCCTTTAAAACTGCATTTCACTGAGATGATCAAATAGAGCAGAGAGAGATGAAATCTTGTCAGGACAGCAGTATTACTCATGTTATCAATTTGAACTGTTGATTAATCTTCAATTATCACTAAGGACTGTATTTTTGCCATCCAAGTTACTTCTGCATTTAATATCAATGATCTACATAAATGACAAGGCAAAGTCATATTGGAAAATAACTTGCCTTGCAAGATAACATATGTCAAAAGCATCAGGTAGGAGATGTTTTTCATGGTCAAAAATGCATAAACTTAGACTTTTGATCAATTGATATCTACTAGGCAACATTCGAGATAACTTAATAACAGTTCATCTAGAATTTTTTCATACTACATTAAAATACCAAGTTTAATCAAAATCTGATGAAAATGCGAGCTCAGTTTTTGGTGTGAGTCCTTTTGTTTTAAGTCTTAAGTGTTGTTAAGATAGTGAAGAAGAGATCAATATGTTATTTTCAGCTATTATCTGAGAAACTTACCTATAGCCTATATAAGACATTTCATAATGAGAAGAATCTAGTTGGTTAATATTTATAACCTCTGATATATATGTATTATCAGCATATAGTGTTTTTGTGACTTTAATACGGTGCCAAATACCAAGACACTGCAAAAGACAACATTCTAAATAAAACAGAGTTCATACAATTCTATAGTACCAAGCTATTAAGACTATAGAGACATAATAGATTGCCACTCTCCACTGATTCCAAAATGTTGAACCTAAGTAATACTTAACCAAGATTTTTGTTTTATTAATTCTAACTACCGGTATCAAAACTATTTTATTTTTACAAATTGTAATTATCAAACCATTTGTTTTTGTTTCTTACTCATGTCATTCTAACACTAAAGGTTACAAGTTAATTCTATACTGTCAAAGGATGTTGTGGATATAAAATCTTTATCAGGAGGGCTACAATGAGCTGGAGATGTTACAAAGTTGGTAAAGATAACTGTACTGTTAATGTTTGTTAATAGATAGAATAAAGCCAACCTGTTCAGGATTTGAAGTATGAATTTGAGTATTAATATTATCTATAGCACATCGATTTTTCTCAATGTTAATCTCTGAAAACAAAATCAGACAGAATCATAATCATTCAAACTACTTAATTAATAAACGTCTATAACCTTTCAGATGAATATAATTATAATATATACAGCATTGTTATTGTTATTTAGCAATCAATAGAAGGGAGGTGGATTCCCTTTAATGAATTTATTCAACCCAACCAAAATCAAAGTTGTTCATATGAGAGGATTTCTTACACTCATATAATATTCACAAGTGTTGTGTATTGTTCATATTTACAAAACAAACCAAATCAAGCAATGTCAAAAATATTACTTCTCTCCCTAATTTACCTACTAAAGTGAAACATGGTAGAAATATCTAATAGTTTTAAAAATAAGGAAGAGACAATGAGCATTTATTGTGTATGGATATATGATATATACATACTTACCATATAACTTTAAGTGTTTAACTGATGTACCAATATCATTACTGGCACTGCATGTATATATACCTAGATCTTCTTTTGTTAAATCTCGAATATTTAAACTTAATGTCATAGTATCTACAGTGTCTTGATAAACATCAATATATACTCTTTCACCATCAGATGGTATCTACAAACCATTATTCAATTAAAGAAAACAATGCAATATATCATGTTATATGGAATTTTCTGAATGTACTATAGTCGTAATGCTACCCAAATTCTAAAATCAACTATCAAATTCATGAGGTGTCTTATTTCCTTTAGAAAGATTGCTGAAAAAAAATGATAGTAAATAATAACAGAACCTTTCTTGCCAATTGCAGAGAAGCACCAAGTGTTAGTGACCCCATCCCCTTCCCCTACAGTAGTAATATCAATAAAACTCAAATTCATTTTTAAAATGCTGGAGATGGAATCAGGGTCAGTCTTGTCAGACATTTTAACTATGGAAACTTTCACTTACCCGTTTACCCTCATGAGACCAAAAGACCTCTGGGAAAGGTTCAGCTTGTACTGTACATTCTAATATAACATCACGTTCTAATATCTGACCAACATGTGTATTAGGTAGAGATATTACAGGAGAAACTAGAGAAAAGATTAAAAGCTAAATTGAAGCTTAAATGATACAAGATTCATTCATTCTATAATAATTACAAAATATATACAAAACATTAATACTGATTGTTATATTATTAACCACAAAATGTCATACATAAAACATTTCTACAATAAAATAAAACTCACAATCTACACTGAGAAACATGTCGAGTGATGAGAATGGTGGATAACCATTGTCAGCCATACAACTGTACTTTCCTGCCATAGATTTCTGAGTGTCTTTTAATATTAACTCTGGTCCTGTTTTTTCTAATTTCACTGAAATATAAAACATGGACAATCTAACTACTTTATGATTTATTACCTATTAAGAAAAAAAAGTTACACCACTACAAGTTAATCACTTTTGTCATTTTTTCATAACTTTATATGCAGAGCTTACATACATAACCTTTCCTTTCGGTATTTCATTCTATAAGGGAACTGCTAAATTATATTGTACCTGACTGATCAGGACTATCTGAATCTCTTGTATAATACCAGGTAATATTTGGTCTCGGATATCCAGTAACATTACAGTAGAATCTACCATCATCACCTTCTGTAACTTGTAAATCACCAGTTGAACCGAATTCCAAAATACTTGTAGATTCTAAAATAAATCATCAATGATTATTTTGTCGCAAATGGTAATGCGTATAAATTTCAATTAGGCAGAACTATTCATATTGATGTGCCATCGAAAAAATTACAAAAACAAGACCACCAACTTTCACATAAAGCCATGGATGTCATTCTTGGCATAAAAGTAGGCAGAAAATTGACTTACCAACAAGAGATAGAACTATTTTACGTGTTGGTTGTCTGCGAGAAAGGCATCTATAAATTCCCTGATCACTAGGTTGTATATTTTTAACTTGTAATTTGTATTTATTGGTAGATATTTGTGTTACAGAGTATTTACTAGTATCTTCAACTATTTTAGTACCGTAAGATATCAATACCTGATCTGGTGACAGAAACATCACCTGCAACATCAATAGTATTTCACGTGAACTAAGTGGGTAAAAAAAAGAAAGAAATTTACAACCTAGGTTTTCTAGGATCCGGTCTTAATAGTTGATGAATAATAAAAAAAAAATCCCACAATATCATTTCTTTTGCATTGCAAATTATATTGATAGAAGTGGAGAAAAGGAGAATCAATATTCATGACCAATACAAATAGATGTGTGCACAATTTTTTCAATTTTAAATTCATTCAAAAAATAATTGTGTATGCTTTGTCTAAAAACTGAAACCACCTTATGATATTGATGATATTTTTCAATTGGACAACACATTGAAGCAGATTCTATTTGTTGCTGGAAGCAAAAACATCTAACATCTCAACTGTTGGCTCAGTTGTATAAATTACCTTTGAATCACTGTCATCTTTAAAGGAACAAGTTAAAACAGCAGTAGAGCCTGGTGATACATTGACAGAAAATACTTTATGATCAGTGGATGTTATCAGATCAGAGGTTGCTGAAATAATCATAAATAGAATTAACTATACTTCAATAATTCAATATAACGATAAGAAAGTTAGTATAAATTAGATTTAGTGCTGAAACACCCAAATGATGCCTATTTCTACCTCCAGAAAACAGCAATGCTGTCCCTTTATAATCTCTATCATTTCAGTCATATAAGGTTGGAAGGATAAAAAGAGCTATTCAGTAAAAAGTTCAAAACATTAGAAAATGACAAGAAACTTACCATATTTGTGGTCAAAATATGGTTCCTCACACTTTCCTAAAAAAGAAACAATTGAGGCTACCAGTGTGAATTTACTAAATTTCCTACTTTAAGGCCTACTATCAAGTCTATACTAACTGACATTGTGTATTGTAATCAATTTAAAGCATTTTCTTCTATTTAGATTTTCTCTATTTAGATTTCAACTAACTGAAAACAATCTATCTAAACCAGAGAGGACCCTCAAATTTGTCTTGTATGAATTTATGTTACTAAAGGTGTATATTTTATTGATAACATGATACAAACCTGGTTGAGAATCAACTAAATGATCTGGATCTTCACAAGTTAATCTGACATATTCCTGTAATTCTGTTATTTTGTCAGCAGATACTGGTTGTTTGGTACGAGACCAGATATAGACTTGTAACTTGTCATCAGGACATTGTATAGTAACATTATATTCTTTACAATAATATACAACAGCTACATCATAATCGGTATATACAATCTTAAATTTGGCTGAAATAATAATTTTACAATACCAATAACATTTAAAGCCTTATATTTAGCCTCATACATGCTTTAGATATCTTTAGAAAACTGTAATTTGAATTATATATTATATGCCAATATATCAATAGCTTACATATTCCATGTCCATATTGTAAAGTATCAAGATTAGTAATTTCTTCTACCATAGTTCCTGAACACTTATTCTTGTCTTTGCTGCAAAACAAAATCAGATTCCCAATGAACAAATTTCAAAAAAGATTTTTAATATTTATATTCCTAAATATACCAGCAAAATACATAAAAAAAATGTGCAATATATTGTTGAGACAACTGGGATCTCTTCAAAAGTTTTTTCTAAATTGGTGAATACTTACGAATAAGCTCTAAACACTAGTAGAGATGTACCATCTTCTCCGTTTACAATGTTCCATGCATGAGAATTCCATGTTGACCAACCATACACAATATTTTCAGTACCACGAACATTATACCAATATCCTTCCATCTAGAATAATATAATGATCAATCTTTGTGATTCTAGAAAATCCAATAGTCAATGAAAAACTAAATAGATGGTCAAGGTGCATCAATATTGCAGAGATCATAATCCACCTTTGAGATACAATCAAGAATTTATACCCATTAAAACAATCAACCAAGATTATCACAGGTTTTTCTCCAATTACAGAAAATACAGATGGCAAGAAAGGTGCGAAAAAAGCCAGGAAAGTGTATTTTCAGTTTGATTCTTCCTAATAATTAAAACTGTTTTAGGTGCATGTTCTCCCTTGGGAGTATTCTTAGACCAACCATGGATTTCGTTACCTACATTAAACGTATTTCTTCTTCTTTTCTTCTACAGATAAGGTGACGGACCGCCTCTACGGTATATTCTCACTATGTTTAAGAAGCGTATGCGGGAGGGGAATTTGACGCACCTCTCACATGTGGGACCTTGTCAAACGTCAAGCAGCACTGCGTCTATCTGGGTGCTTTTGTCGATGCCAGCGATGTCCTGGATTGCTGTTATCAGTTGCGACTCAAAGGATCGCTGCTTCCTTAACCCATGATGGGTCGTTCAGGATGTCATGTTTCTAAAAAAGGTTCACAAGGGAAGTCTGTGGCGCCGGCTGATAATTTGAGGGCTTCTTCTTGACGCCCTTCTTAAATATCGGAGAAACGTTGGCTGACTTCCATTCCTCTAGCGTAGTCGCCAGGAAAATCCTGGTGAGTGCTGTCGTAAGAATGTGAGCAAGAAATTTAGTGGAGATCTCATCTAGGCCGGTTGCCTTGGCTTCAGGGCCTGACAGGAGTTTCAGTACTCCCTTCTCAGTGACTGACGTCTGGTGCTGTTGGGGTGGTGCTGTCACCTATGACTGGGATGTCAGATATGTCCTCTATGGTAAACACTGACGAGAATGGTTGGTTTAGGTGAGAGGCTTTGGATTTGTGATCTCCATGAGGCGATACCAGTGCTATCAAACATCTTACTCTTGATGAAAGAATATAGTTTCATACTATTGTCGTCATATTGCACTCTTGTTGAGTTGACTTCTACAAGTGTCTGTATCTCTCTGCATGTTCTTGCTGCTGCCCAAAGTCCTGTTTCTGTTGAAAGCTCTTCTATTCTGCCTCTAGAGCAGCTTAATTCTCCGGGTAACACCAAGACTGGTTGAATCGGTTGGACGTCACTCCTCGTGTAATCCTTATCCAGTATTTGACTCATTAATTGATGTTCAATGGATGAATCAGTGTTGGTGAGCAATGTGATGTGGTAGTCTGAAAACCTCCGACATCTACCATAATATCTCAGACATTGAACATACATCTGGGCATTTGGGTCCTTACCTCACCCTACGGCCATGGAAACAACGCTAGTCGGATCTATTGATTCACAAAAATTCAAACACCATCAACATAAAGATTATGCAATATACAACTAGATCATAATATATCAATAGACATCAATATGAACATAGAACTTAATAAACCAACCAAATCCTCTGGGTCAAATGTAATCTGATGAGGACACAGAAGGAATAGAAAATAAGATAACAAAAACAAAATAGCATGTCAAGGTAGCTCACCTATTTCAACATTTTGACATGCTATTTTGTTCGGGGCAGTACTTGTTCATTATTAGATGACTTTCATATTTTCAGGGTTGGACAACGATATCTTGAAGTATATCTGTGAGCATTTGGAAAGAAATAAATTTACCAACAGATGAGGTATTAACCGTCTAACTTTTGGACGTTTTTGGGGGAACACCTGATATATCAACGAATCGCATCAGTACCCACGGGTGTTTTTTATGACTCATTGGGTGAGGGGGTCAAGTAGGACCCACATAATTTTTAAGGGTTTTGCACGATGTACAATGATAGGATGTTTAAAAGTGGAGGGACCAAAGCCACTGCGACTATCATTGAATCTAAACGACCACCGAAAAACTACAGTTGACATCAGTGGCTTTTATCTAGCCAAAATTAATAGCATTAAACAGATGTTTTCCAATTTTCATTTATATTTTATGACCTTCAAAATATGATTAACCGTGCATGAGACATCTAGTTGCCACCCCCATTCCAGCTCCCATTTCTCCTAACCTTTAAGTTCATTTGTGATTTGAACTTTCCGGAACTGATAAATTTGGTAAATCTGGGTAAAACTGAAAGCAGCCATTTATTATATTTCTTGACGATAACCTTGAGGACAACTGTTCACAATCTGCACCAATTCCATTAACACACATAAGGAATGCGTTTAAGTATCGGTTTTCATAAAAAAAAACAATAAACCAAGGATATCGGTACATTGGTGGTTGTTGACCGACCGAGTTTATAAAATTTCAAGGATTTTGAAATAAGGCTGTGACAAACAATATGTTATAATAATAAGTTAAAATTACATAATATACCAAATGCATCTTACTCTACCTTTTTACCCATGCAAACAATTCAACATCTTAAATTACTGTTACAGATGTGAGTTTTCTACCTGCTCACTGACTAGATTGTCTCATAGAAATCATAATTATCAAATACATACAAAATATTATGACAACAATACAAAATTTATCTCTTCAATATATGACTTTTGTGATGCATTATTGCAACAAAAAATTGCGAGTTTCTATATGGAATTCAGGATTTTTACGTAACCTATCACGAAATCTGTGACAATGATATAAATCTTGATAGACATTTTGTTTTTGAAATCAGGGATACCATATCAAACAGTACATATTGCTTTTGTTCCTCGAACGCCATATCATCCTACCTGTTCATCGATCGTGATATACAGGTGGGATAACAGTGACGTTACCCCATCCATCACGCCCGAGAAACGAAAACCAGAGTTTTAGATCAATACAAACACTCACCTTTGACATATCTAGGTTGGTTTGGACTGGAATATTTTCGATGTGACATGATGGACCATGTTTAATTGGTATACCACTGATACACAACAAGAACAGATGAAATACACCGAACTCTAATAACACTATCATTCTAATCATCATAACCCATACAGACCCGGCGACTAACAAATCTAACTTTGTTAAAGACCACCGGTATAAAGAAACTGCGAGTCACAAAAATCAGCTGACCGACAGAGGCGAAATTTGATATTGCCATTAGAAACTAAGGCACCGTTTGAGGTCAGATAAGAAGTTTAAATTGGGTGGGGGTCAACTTTTGAAATAGGATAAGTTTCTTATCCACAACACATTTTGTATTTTCTCCGCATTTTAAATAATCATTTTGATAAATAAAACGACAGTTTTTGGTGATAGTGAACATATAAAACCTGATAAAATTGAAATATAAACCAGAAAAATTTAAATGTCAAAATGGTTTGTATTTAAGCAACGTACCACATACACAACCGTTATCTAGAATAAATGTCTTTCATTCTTACTAATGGTGAAATATTGTACTTTTTCATTTTCTATAATCTATAGCTTAAATATATATAACATGGTCGGATTTAACATATTTTAGTCCGCAGCAATACATAACCATGTTATTACCACTAATGGTAACATTTCCCGAAGTGATACATTGAATAAGATATAATGATATCTATACATTAAATAATATTGACACAAGGATAATATATCAGAGATACATTGAATGTTGACAAAAGGATAATATATAATGATATCAGCGGACATTGAATAATATTGACACAAGGATAATATATAACAATATTAGAGATACATGAATGATTATGACACAAGAATAATATATAATGATATCAAAGTTTCATAATAAATCTGACACAAGGATAATATACAATAATATCAGAGATACATTGAATATTGACGCAAGGATAATATATAATGATATCAGAGATACATCGAATGATTTTGACACAGCGATAATATATAATGATATCAAAGCTTCATTGAATAATATTGACACAAGGATAATATATCCGAGATACATTGAATATTGACGCAAGGATAATATATAATAATATCCGAGATACATCGAATAATTTTGACACAGGGATAATATATAATGATATCAAAGTTTCATTGAATAATACTGACACAAGGATAATATACAATAATATCAGAGATACATTGAATATTGACACAGGGATAATATATGATAATATCAGAGATACATCGAATGATTTTGACACAGGGATAATATATAATAATATCAAAGTTGCATTGAATAATGCTGACACAAGGATAATATATCAGAGATACATTGAATATTGACACAGGGATAATATATGATAATATCAGAGATACATCGAATGATTTTGACACAAGGATGATATATGATAATATCAGAGATACATAATAATATCAGAGATACATTGAATATTGACACAGAGATAACATATAATAATATCAGAGATACATTGAATATTGACACAAGGATAATATATAATGATATCAGAGATACATTGAATATTGACACAAGGATGATATATAATAATATCAGAGATACATAATAATATCAGAGATACATTGAATATTGACACAGAGATAACATATAATAATATCAGAGATACATTGAATATTGACACAGAGATAACATATAATAATATCAGAGATACATTGAATATTGACACAAGGATAATATATAATAATATCAGAGATACATCGTGTGAATTTGACATGAGGATAATATATAATGATATCAAAGTTTCATTGAATAATATTGACACAAGGATAATATATAATGATATCAGAGATACATTGAATGATATTGATAAAAGAATAATATATCAGAGAGAAATTGATGATATTGATACAAGGATAATCATTTTTCAATAAAAATTTGAACAGTGAACAGTTAACTGTGGTCTGGTAAAGGATTATTGCCCTTCCCTAGAAATCATAACAGTTATTGTGGTCTGATGAAGAATTATCGCCCTTTCTCAAAATGTAATTATCTCAAAAATGTAAACAAGTCAAAACTATCTACTTTCAAGAGAAAAATAGACCAATACGTAAGTACGACTAAGACTTAGTCACTAAGTAGCTCATTTCCATTTTCTTTGAAAGCATAGTTATAAAACGTTTTAAACTTGATGCTCCGGAGTTACAAGAGTGGTGTCTCCAAAATGCCAACTTTAATATAGGCATAATTCAATTGAATATGTTTATTGACCACTACCGGTTACATTTTTGCAACTTTTTCATTTCCATAATGGGTTTAGGATTGTTTCTTTGATACAGATACCATATTTCAATTAAAATTGAGTAGACCTAGGCTTCTGCAACTTTAGCAGTCGTGTATCATGACCCTTGGCCTTGTATCCTAGACTAGACTATAGATGATATAGTTTGAATATATATATATTTGTAGGAAGACAGTATGGTAATAAGATGGAGAATAAAGAAAGGGTTGATATAAAACACTTTTCTGAGGATTTATTGTTATCAATATTTACTTCTTTATCAATCAGTGATATTGTTAATGTTTCTTTGACATGTAAACAATGGTGGAGAGTTTCTCAAGATGATTTACTGTGGAAAGACTTCTTTTTACGCGATTTTCAGGTGTGTATGAAGGTTTAGACATCTCTAATTGAAATGTATCAGTAGGTCTAGATACAATTATAAGTCCCAAAAGTCATCCAATTAATTAGGTATGAAAAAAGGACTAATTTCTTCAAAAAAACAAACTTGATAGGCTACTGGTGTGTGTCATGAAAATTTCTCTACCTTTTCATCCCAAATATGCAAGTTGTATATATATACAGTCAAGTAACCTAATTTCGTGGAAACCTATTATTCGTGGATTAATAATTTACATGAGCGACCTTGCGCGACCTCCGCATTAGTTTGTTTTAATAAAAATGGGTTTTCTCTACAATGTCAGCTAGTAGAATGAATCCAGTAGTTTCAAGCAAGGTCAAATGTATTAATGTATACTTTGACAAATACAAAATGGCGGTTTTCACTTATTACCAAACGTCACCATTTTTTATTGGCCGAATTTCCTTATAATCCCAAGCGGTAATCCAAATTCCAAGTGTCGTCTGCTAGAATATATTCCAACGAATGAAGTCATGTGATCAACTAGTGGATTCCGTGTCAGCAGAAAATTTCTATGGAACACAAAGTGGACCATATTCTCATGTTGTTTCAGTGACTTTTAGCAATAAATCACGCTACGTATCTTATTTTGTCAGTCACTCTTTTTTTTTAAATCGTGGTTCTTTGAAGGAATTGTCACTAGTTATAATGAATTGATATTAAAGATAAATACTAAGAAAAGTTAATTATACCACTGGGTATCCATACAAGGTGTTTTTCTCGTCTTATTTATAGACCAAACATTGTACACGAAAATAGGTGACGCATTCTGCCGCAGTTGCCGAGTTGGTTGCTCATGAAATACGGGTCAAAGTGAAGGATTCATAAAGAAAATTGAAATAAACCAATTTTAATTATTTTGTAGAATATCTGAGGAAACACCTAAGACATAAAAAGAAAATTTTGTTTTTTTAACTTTGACGTAATTCGGTGTTGAATCCTTATATCCACGAAAATAGGTTTCACCACTGTATACTTATATTTTTGTTTATAGTTAAAGAAAGGAACTTGTATTGCTGGTGGAAAGACTAAATGGAAAGATGAATATAAAAGACTAAAATATCACACACCATGTATAGAAAGTCAAGAATTAAAATATCATAAAGATCAGGTTTTACATGTTTGCTTTTCAAATAATGGAGAACTATTTGCTACTTCTTCAAAAGATGGAACTTGTAAGGTATGGTATTTTAATACATTGTACCAATATACTGCCCATTTAGGTATATTTTTAATAACAAGGTTGTTCTAAAGCTTGACATTTTCCTTTCATAAAATAACTACCAACAACTACCTAGTTTGCGATATAAGCATCCGCTTGAAGCTAACGTTAACTTGCCATCTACCTATCTTTCATGAAATTGTAATTACTTGTAGGTTTGGACATCTAGTCATCCTTGTCAGTTAGTATTTGAGTATGATATGAAAAAGTTTCATTGGAAATATACCCAGTTTTCCCAATTCAACAAATCTGATACACTCCTATTGGTATCAGGAGTTCATTTTGGAGAGGGAAGTACTTCAGGTGAAATAGCTGTGTTTAGTATTGTAGGTAGGTATTGTTATATGTCAAGGGTAACTAAAATGTATATTGCTTTAGCCAATAGCATAAGGGTGGTTGAAAGGTAACAAGTTACTGTTCAATGGACGACATAATTTCCTCAACAAATTTTATCTGTGGAACACTATCTAAAAAAACTAATCACCTCATGCATTTGATCTAATATTCAGCTGATAATTTATATCTCACACAAACTAGTGATAACCTGTAACCTAGGTTAAAGTATCATGTCACTAATATGTCATAGAATATACCTAAGAAGTTTTAATGTTTATTTTTTTTTACTTAAGCAATTAAGATATATAAAAAAAAAATTATATTGTTCTATAGTTAATATGAAGTGACAGATTAATATGTTACGTTATCTATTATTCTGAAAGTAATAACTATATCTTAATCATAAGTCTCTTATTAATGTTTTCTTATAATATTCATTTAACAAATTTTGTGTTTGTTTAATTTGCTCTTTTTGTTGTCATTTTAGTTTGAGTAATTTTTATATTTTTCCAGATAATTTTGAATTACAATCTCGAATGATAAATAAACCATATGATATATTTGGTACATGGTATAATGATACACATTTATTATCTGGTAGTTTATATTGGACTGGTCAACTTAATTCTTGTTCAGCATTATGGCTTAATATGGTAATGGTAAGATATTTCTCTCTAGATGTTCAAAGAATATTGTGACTGTCATGTAAGATAGGATAAAACACTCTTTGGTTACTGCTGTATTCACATAAATATCAACTGCATAATATTTAATGCTTAAATCATATTTTCTTGATAGGCTATATATTTACATTTGTACTATCACTCCCTTCAATAAACCAGTTAGCCAAACCCGCGTTTATTTTCCAATAACTGTAGTTTGTCACATGACAATAAGGCATATGAATAAATCGAAAACAAAAACAAGGATTGATCCAAGTTTTTTACCTAGAGTTGGAAAGTGATTTTGAAAGGATTTCTAACAAGTATTTTAAATCAAGCCATAGTAAACAGAAACCAATGTAAATATAAGGAATGAATGTGGATCTTGTTATCGTTATGGGAAAATAAACGCTGGTTTATCATGTGACGAGACGTACATGACACGCTTCGCTAAACCAGCGTTTATTTCCCCATAACGATAACAAGATCCACATTCATTCCTTAACTTTACTCCTTTTTATTGTCAACACTATTGATTTCATGCTTCTAGAAAAAAGTGAACATTTTTGTATCTGAAAGTCTATTACAGTCAGGTGCTATTTGAGTCGTTTGATCAATTGACAAAAGTGATTCAACATAAGATAAAAATCATAGCTGAAATTTTCAGATAATTAGATCCATATGCCAAGAATATAACTTCATAATATTTTATCTTTCAGGCTTCTCAAGCAATAGAAACAGAAAATGAGTCAGTTGTTATGAGATTATTTAAATTTCACAATGAGAATGCCAGTTCTATACGTACTATAATGATAGCCAATTGTTACAGTGATTATCAGCGCTTCTTGTTACGACGTCGTATGAAAACATTAAAACATATTGAGAAATGTTACAATTGTAATGAAAAATACCAAGAATTTTTACCAAGTTTTGATGATCTAGATTTACATAATAATGAGGACAATGTCAATTTTATAGTTGGTAATGAAGGTTATAATCATTCAGATTTTGATGACGAAGAAATTCGACATGTTCCACTATATAATACAATGGCGTCTGACCATAGTCGAATTTCACACAATGGAAGTGTTGAGAGAACATTTGAGAATAAAGGTGGTGATGATGGTTCAACAGCTTGTGCAAGTGGAAGCTCTACAAGTCAGATCTCTGAATCGTGTTTAAAACATTTAGAACTAGATGATTTAAACAATGACTTATCTTTGGATGACCCTGTCACAACAGCTACACTATCTTGTGATAATTTTAATGTTGAAGATGCTATTTTAAGTGACTCAGATCAGTATTTGTGTGATAAATTGTTAATTTTTACTCTGGGATCAGCCGCGTATACACCTCATCAAATAGGGTTGAAACGAATCAAATGTCTAGAACTAGAGAATACAAACTCTAAACGTGATAATCGGGGAAATATATTACCTAATGTAGCTAACAACACTCAAGGTCGAGATAGAACCTATGATAAAGTGGACAAAATACTGGAAATGGATGGACATATTATTGGTATGAGTTTATCACCAGACAATAGGTAAGAACTCTCTTTTTACTGAGATTATTTCTTTCGTACTCGGTTTAGCTCATATTTACATATATTGGGTGGACCAGAAAAAATGAAAACAAATTTCAAGATTTTTCATTAGGTATCAAGCTAAAATCATAATATTTTAACCTCTCAATAATACACATACGAGATATCTATTTACAAAAAATTAACTTCATAGGTTGAAACAATTGGAAATGGCAGTATTTTAGATTACTTGTGAGAGAGTTACAGCTCTGTCACATTAATCTACAGGTCTGAGGTTAGCTTGAAGCATAGATTGGGATCCTTTATTTCAATGTTGTTTCCCCCGTTAGTGATGCAGCTATGAGGTCTTTCAACATTTTGTAAAATGAACAAACTTGTCTTTTGTGTCATCGTTTTTTGTAGATTCCTCTATGTCAATTGTCGCCCATGGCCAAAAAACTACAAAATAGACAACCCACTTCAACCACCACCATTAGCACAAGAAATTGATATACATGTCATAGATCTGTATTTGATGCAAGAAGTTGGTACAATGTTAAAATCTCATAAAGCTTATACAGCTAATGATGAATGTTTCTTTATATTTCTTAATGTCAGTGAAGAATATGTGGCAAGGTTTGTTACTGTTTTTATATTCATAATCATATGCTGTTCCCTTTGTTTGAGATAAATTTTGTTGAAAAATAAATATGTACCGGTATGTAATGAAAGTTGATATTTGTATATATATACAAACAAATTATTATACATATTATGTCTATTAGTAAATGAACTGTTTATAAATTTGATTAAGGTTAAAGAAAATTTGACAGATTCACCCATATCCGTCCGTCGGTCCATCCACACTCTAAAAGACGCAATTCTTGACCGATTTTGACAAAACTTGGTGTGAGTATTCATAATCACCCAAGGATGAACCCTATTGAAAATCAGAAGAATCGTAAAATATTTAGTATGAGTTATTGCCCTTGTTCGTTAAAACGCATTCAATTTCTAGCTCGTAAACACTGTAGAAGGCACAATTCTTGATGGATTTTGACGAAACTTGGTATGAGTGTTCGTAATCACCCAGGGATGAACTCTATTGAAAATCAGAAGAATCAAAAAATATTTAGTATGAGTTATTGCCCTTGTTCTTGAAAACGGGTTCATTTTTAGCTCGTAAACGCTCTATAAGGCACAATTCTCGATGGATTTTGACAAACCTGGTTTGAGTGTTCATAATCATCCAAGGATGAACCCTATTAAAAATCAGAAAAATCGAAAAATATTTAGTATGAGTTATTGCCCTTGTTCTTGAAAACACGTTAAATTTTTAGCCCATAAACTCTCTAAGAGTTATTGCCCTTGATCTTGAAAACGCATTTAATTTATAGCTCGTAAACACTCCAGAAGGCACAGTTCTTGACGAAACTTGGCATGAGTGATTGTTATCACCAAAGGACAAACTCTATTGAAAATCAGAAAAATATTTAGTATGAGTTATTGCCCTTGTTCTTGAAAATGCGTTCTATTTTTAGCACTTAAACACTCCAGAAGGCCCAATTCTTGACAGATTTTGATGAAACAGGGTAATATTATTCAGTATCGCCTCAAAAAGTTCAAATGAAGTGTATGTCTGAAGGTTGAATATATCATACTGGTAATTGTTACTGTACTGCCAAATCTTTTTATTCAAAATCAAAGCTGCCAATGGGTGTATATTACCTTGCCTGGCAAGCTATCTTTTATCTGGATATGAAAAGTGTGACATCATATATACAATGTGCCCTCAATGTTCTCCAAGTTTGAGATTTAACCTTAACTTGTAATATATGAAATCATAGTTTCAATAATTCTGTTATATTACAGTGGAGCTGAAGATAAACATGGTTATATGTGGGATAGACATTATGGTATGTGTCTACAGAAATTTCAGCATAATGATGTGGTGAATTCTGTGGCGTTCAACCCTATAAATTCTGAAATGTTAGTGACTGTTAGTGATGATTATTCTATTAAAGTCTGGAGGTCTAAGAAATGGAACACTGAGGAAGACTAGGACTTGAATACTGTATTATACTGATGGCTGATAAATTATTTGTAGGTTAGGTAGATCAGAGCTGACAGGACCTGTTGAAAATGTGTAATATGATATATTAAGCCAGTTGTGTAGAATTGAATGACAAAATACATGTATGCAATTATGAAGATTTTATAAAGACTACATTGAATATGTCTAGGTTGTGCTCATGTTCATTTAGACAAAGTTATAATGAAAATTTAACCTAAAACCGCTGCCTGTATGTAAAAAGTCAGTGGCTCTTTTTAGACAAATATCCATTGGATTTATAATGAAATGAAAACCATTGTCCTGACTAAGTTGGCACAAACTTTTGCACATTTAAAATAAAAATTCTGTGGTGTTTTATTATTATTGTTATCTATTGAAGTGAAAAGGATTATTTTGCTGTAAAATTGCATTTGTTTAAGTGGTTAATATTAAAGAGTCAATCTGATAATATGGACTGATATGTTTATGGCTATGGCTCAGTGGCATATATAGAGTGAACCCTAAACATGCAGCAAACAGTACATCAATATTATGTGCTTAGTTTTGTTGGGAAGGACGATGGTTATCTTTTTATACAATGCTTTACTTAGAACCCGCAGTTTTCATACAATAAATACAATAAGGTAAATAAAATAAACACAGACAAAATGTATTTAGTCCTCTTTGAACATATTTTTACAGAAAAGCTTATTCAGGGTAGAGGAATGGAGAATACACAAATAAGAATCTGTATCTCCTCAATGTCAAAGGTATTTTTGTCAAGATATTCTCATGAAAGATAACCAAATATATATAATGCTGGACCATTATCAGTGGAACCTTCGAATTTTTCATTCATATACCCTTTACAGTAGGCATATCTTCAGGAAATGATAAATCCATGCTAGAAAGGCATCTTGGCCTAATTTCGTACCCTAATAAAGTGATTATTATTATTATTATTACATCAATAATATTCAAAAAGCAATGTAACATCATTACAGTAAATGTTTCGCGACAAATATTGTTTATAAAGCCTTATGAAATTACGTACAGATAAATAAATACCATAATGAAAGCTATTTACACATAATAAAAACAATTACTAGTAATAAAAACAATAGCACAGAACTTTACAATGATGTCTAATATCTAAACTGTAATAACATTTAAATACAGTTTTTCTGATTAGGAATAATACCATAATGACATCAGGACTGATGTTCTGATCAATAAGTACAATATCACTATAATTTAATAATATGAAAGACAATAATTTCACAATATAGTTTATAATTATAATGAATAATCAGCTTGCTACCATTCCATCATTACCGCCTCCTGATGCTCCTAAAATTCACAAGTTTAAAACATTATAAGATACATAGTATAGATAATTTATTGAGTATTTGTTTTATCTGACATCCTCAGCTGATGTCATTTAAAGGAGTCAAAATGTTGTAGTGTAGCCACCAAGGACACTGGAAGTTCAGAGCTCATGAGAATCGCTATATTTTAAGTAGCTTCCAATGCCCAATTCCTGAAACTCAATTAATTAGTCTGATAATAGTTTCAGATTTTGAACAGATAAGCCTTGGGAAAAGCTAGTAAAGTTATGACATGTTACAATTAAAATGACAAGCTAACTTTAAGCACACAAATAAATCCAGTACTACATGTATTGAAAGTTTCAAAATAAACCTGTATTTTCATAATTTTGATATCAGATGTGCCACTTATATATTTTATAAATGATCTTCCAGTAATCATTTGAACTCAAAAAGTTTCCTCTACTTACCTTCTCCATGATCATGATCATCATGACTCTGGTAACATTTCTTTTTATGACCTTGACAATTGTGTGTACAATCATCATCTTCATCTTCAGAAGATGATTCACCAAATAACTTGGGTTTTTCATAGATACAACAACCTGTAATTAATAACATTATAAGGATTTAATTGTTCTTTTATTGACCTTTATTTATAGGCAACAGCTTAACTTAAACATATTTTATTAAATTTAAATGAAGATATTTTGATTATAGAAATTATAATTCTATCATAATTGTATTGTAAGAATGTGTCCAGCTTTTCTTGATACAACAGCTGTCATGTTGACTCATGTTTCCTGCAAAAAGAATTTGAGTCTTCAATTGAAGAAGAATTCTCTTTGATAAATAGTCTTTCATTGAATATAACTCAGTCAACAAACTGTGCCATATTCATACATCCGTCATCAATGGCTTGGTAACATGTTGTTGAATTTTCACGATGAACATAGCTATACTTACATTTTGATTTCTTTTTATTCATGTGTTCATTATCAACAGTACTATTTGTCCATTTCACTTTTTTGTCAGGTTTTGGTTTATGTAATCTTAAATGTAAAACTTCATGATTCTGAAATTGAAAGTAAAAAAAAATATATAATTAGTAGGCATATATTAAAGAATTGGAAATATATTTGAAAACATATTTCTCTGTCTTGATAAATCACATCAAAAAGAAGATTGCAGAAGTCAATGTCTGAGCTTATTCCCCGACCTAAAAGAAATTCAACATGTCTCAGATTTAGTCCAGCTGTGGCCTATGTTTTTTGGTTTTTTAGGGCTATATCTTCTACCATCTAGTATTTGACAAGTCTCAAACATAATATTTCAGACATATTCCCTTTTGTAAAAAATACATTTCAAAATAATTATCTTTCATTCCAAATATTCGTATGTAATTAAACTCTAAGAACAACTATTAATAATCAACTTAATACCGTACATTCATAAATCATAGGCAACATGAGACTCAAACTATCAAAAGAGTAAGAATAAGACACCCTTTTCTACAAACTTACACTTTCTTCTTGTTTTTCAACAGTTTCTGTAACTGAACCTTCTTGCTGAGCATCACTAGCACTTGCCATTCCTTCAATCAGTACGTTCAAATTAATCTATATTAATCCTTAATGGTATAAAATAGATATAGGATTATAAAAAGGCATCAGTTTTCTTAATCCAGAAAATATATCAAGAGTTGTCTTTCCTTACTATTTTCTGCGAAGTTATTTGTAGACTCAATCATCAGGCTTTTTAATAAAAAAAATTACGTGCATTTGTAGGATAAATTAATATAGATTATATCAACATCATATTCCATTAATGCTAATAATAACATCTCTTACTTCAATCTAGCATATTATTACACCATTATAATTCTTGTCAATGTAGTCGTGTGGCACTGGCAATTTATCATCAAACGATATACACAAAATGGGAGCTAACTCCGATTAAAGTAGTTCTGAGTCTGACCACGCTTAATTTCTATTATACAAATTTAATCTAAAAATTTTGGATGATCTCAAAGTTTGGTGTTATAAACACCATTAACCCCAAGTGAGAGTTCGAACCTCTGGATTATTAAAATTTGTCCATAATGATCCAAAAACTCTGGTCTAAAGGTCTAAAACTCTGACGTAAATAGGTCTAAAACTCTGGCGTGTCTACCCGGAACAAGTAGCCTATAGGTGGCTCCAAGTTTACCTTTAGATTATTAAGAATTTAGAATGTGTCGCACTGTGCGCAAAGCAGTGACAGCGGCACTTTTAATCTAGATATCGTGGAACCGTATTCTATGCCCTTTCAAAATATATTTGAGAATTTTGTACCGATGGTCGTAATTTTTTCCCAAAATTAATTGTAAATTATGATTAAAAGCTAATTAAGAGACAGCTAATATATGGACCTCCGGTATGACTAGGACCAAAAACGACTTTCAGGACGTCATCTACGACAGCGGCCTCAGAGACATGGCGACAGCCCGGGACGGCGCTGGTTGGAGACCGGGCCCATCCGTTGCAGAAGGAAGTGGGGTGGAGATGTCGCTGTGGTGTTGCTGTGAAAAGAAAGGCCTGAGTGTGCACCGGGCTGAACTTAGTTTACATTCAACTAGCATACAGATTCTATCGAATCTGGTCGAATCGTCTCAGCATACACATTCGCGGCAAATCGACACCATATGAAATCTGAATCTGAATCTGAAACTTAAATATTGTTAAAATAACTTAAACAAATTTATGACAAATACACATAAGAATTCTTCCAATTTCACAAATACCTATATGTCTAAATCTTATTCTTTGTACTGTGGCCCATTTAAAATATAATTTTATTTTATGGAAGCTAGCTGAAAATTACCAAAGTTAAACACGAATTAAAAGGCTTAGCCGTCATACGAACTTTTTGAAATTCATACCATACTATCTCACACTTGTCATTATTCGAAATATCAAATCACCAAATAGCTGTCTCCCACTGAGTGTTCGTAATCACCCAAGGATAAACCCTATTGAAAATCAGCGAAATCGAAAAATATTTAGTATGAATTATTGCCCTTGTTCTTGAAAACGCGTTCAATTTTTAGCTCGTAAACACTCTAGAAGGCACAATTCTTGACAGATTTTGACGAAACTTGGTATGAGTGTTCGTTATCACCCAAGGATAGACCCTATTGAAAATCAGCGAAATCGAAAAATATTAAGTATGAATTATTGCCCTTGTTCTTGAAAACGCGTTCAATTTTTAGCTCGTAAACACTCTAGAAGGCATAATTCTTGAAGGATTTTAACGAAACTTGGTATGAGTGTTCGTAATCACCCAAGGATAAACCCTATTGAAAATCAGCGAAATCGAAAAATATTAAGTATGAATTATTGCCCTTGTTCTTGAAAACGCATTCAATTTTTAGCCCATAAACACTCTAGAAGGCACAATTCTTGAAGGATTTTAACGAAACTTGGTATGAGTGTTCGTAATCACCCAAGGATAAACCCTATTGAAAATCAGCGAAATCAAAAAATATTTAGTATGAATTATTGCCCTTGTCATTGAAAACGCGTTCAATTTTTAGCTCGTAAACTCTCTAGACGGCACAATTCTTGAAGGATTTTAACGGAACTTGTTATGAGTGTTCGTAATCACCCAAGAATAAACCCTATTGAAAATCAGCGAAATCAAAAAATATTTAGTATGAATTATTGCCCTTGTTCTTGAAAACACGTTCAATTTTTAGCTCGTAATCACTCTACAGGGCACAATTCTTGATGGATTTTAACGAAACTTCGTATGAGTGTTTGTAATCACCCAAGGATAAACCCTATTGAAAATCAGCGAAATCGAAAAATATTTAGTATGAATTATTGCCCTTGTTCTTGCAAACCGTTCAATTTTTAGCTCATAAACACTCTAGAAGGCACAATTCTTGACAGATTTTGACGAAACTTGGTATGAGCGTTCGTATTCACCCAAGGATAAACCCTATAGAAAAATCAGGGAAATCGAAAAATATGTAGTATGAATTATTGCCCTTGTTCTTGAAAACGCGTTCAATTTTTAGCTCGTAAACACTCTAGGAGGCACAATTCTTGACAGACTCTACAAGTCACAATTTTTTTGCTCATAATCACAATTTACAATAGATGTCATTATTTTCCTGAGAAACTATTTTGGTTAACAAATAAGAAATAATTTCATCATTTAACATGTCCCTAACCAGCCACCATACATGTACAGCATCATAAGATACTATAAATAGACCAAGTGGAAAATCCAAGACAGATATCCAATCATAGCTTAGTCATGTGACATCGCAAGATGCAGCAGTTTATCTGATTTAATTTTATAAATGTCATTCAAGAGAAAAGGTTTGCTTAATCATTTCATTTTCACTAATTGTGCTGATACAAAAATGAAATCAAACATGGGTCATTGGGGAAAGGTTTTGTTTCTTGGAAGATTGAATTGAGTTGCTGGATAAGTAGGCTACTATAGGAATATAATCTGCAAATACACAATTCATGACAGACTTATTGAAATCACCCAAGGATAAATCTGATCAAAAATCTTGTAAAACACGAAATTTTATTCTACAAATCAGAAGTCTAAAACAAATTTGACAACTTGATGAAATTGATCACAATCAAAACTAAACCTTTTGAAATATAAAATACAAGTTATTGCCGTTATTCTTACAAATGTGTTTGATTTTTAACTTGTGATGGCACAGTTTGTGATGGATTTGGGTACAAGTGGAATATTTCCTGGTGTCTATGTTTGCTATTTTCTAACAAATATTCAATTTCAAACAAAGCTATCAGTGGGCGTATATTACCTTGCCTGGCAAGCTATCTTCACTTATTATTGTAGGTAGATCAATTCATGGCCTAGTTAGAGCAACCAGAAAACACCGGCAGAGCTTTAAAAGTTATGTAAGTTATATTTTATTCTCGTGCATCATCCTATGTAGCAGGTAACCCCCTTGACCAAGGGAGTTGGTGTCATTTTCTCTTCCGCTCATATACCTGGTAAACTTGCCTAGTAATCACCAAGACATAATGTGGTCGTATTTTGTCATTGCCCCTGTCTGATGGTCCGCCCACAATTTTGTTGTGAACACAATAGAGGCTACAGTATATGATTTTAATGAAATTTGGTGTGAGCATTTATATTGAGATCTTGGTCAAGTTCGAATTTGAAGATTTTTTCGATCAGCCCTTGACTTGCGAAAAACATAAGAGAGACTACAGTTTTGATCAGATTTTGGTGTGATATATATTAATGAGGTCTTGTTCAAGTTTGAAATTGACTATTTTTATTTTTTTTGTATATTGTCGTCACCTATGTTCGTCCGTCGGTCCGTCTGTCCACAATTGGCTTGTGAACGCGATAGAGACTACAGTTTTTACCTGATTCGAATTAATTTTGGTGTCTTCATTTATATTAATGAGATCTTGGTCAAATTCGATAATCATGATTTTTCGTTGAACGGTTTTTCAGTTATTGCCCTTGACTTAGCCAAAACACGTCAAAATTGGCTTGTGAATGCGATAGAGAGTACAGTTTACATCTGATTTGAATGAAATTTGAGGTGATCATTTATATTCATAAGATCTTGGACAAGTTCGAATTTCACGATCTGTCGATGAACGGTTTTTGAGTTATTGCCCTTGACTTATAAAAAATGCATCAAAATTTGGTGGTGAACACAATAGAGACTACAGTTTTTATCCAATTTCAATGAAATTTGGTGTGAATATTTATAATGATGAGATCTTGGACAAGTTCGAATTTGGCTATCTTTCGATGAACAGTTTTTGAGTTATTGCCCTTGACTGCTGAATTCGAGACAACATCTGTAGGCCATATGCTGCATGTGTAGAAATGCCATATTTTGCTAATCATAGACACATTTGTCGCACAGCTACATTCCAAGGGGTAAAATGTTTGTTGGACATGAGTGGAAATAGAAGGACAGGGCCACTCTTTCTGGGAGTATGACACATTTTTCGACACAGCCATGCCTGATTGGCTTTTGATGGATAGTCACTTTTGTTGTGCATAAACCACAGTTGTTGAATTTTTCACATAAGTGTTAATTTTAGAAAATCTCCCTTTCACAGTAGGAATAAATTGGGTATTGCCATTTGCTAAATTGGATGGTCGGTCAGTGTGGCACTCTGGAAGTGGTCATGCAGTAGGTGAGGGGACCACTTTGCTGCATGATTCTCGAAGGTGGTGTCATGTGTCCTACGGCAAATATTAGAAATGGAATATATTTGACATTATTCATTTTGTCAATACCTTGAAAGGGTTCAAATTTGATGAAAACATGACATGGTTGCTGAATTCGAGACATCTGTAGGCCATATGCTGCATCTGTAGAAATGCCATATTTTGCTAATCATAGGAATATTTGTCGCACAGCTACATTCCATGGGGTACCATGTTTGTTGGACATTATTGGAAATAGAAGGACAGGGCCACTCTGACACATTTTTCGACACAGCCATGTTACACAGCAAATTTGCTTTATAAACCATGGTTGATACAACTTTCTTTACTGTGTAGATGGGCGTTAAATATGTTAACCCCTATTGGTACAGACTGACACAAGGGTCACACTTGTCTATATGTTTTGCATAATAAATCATTAGAATCATAGTTTCTTTGTCTAATTTGACAATTTGACCTTAACATGTATTTTAGGTAATGCT